TCTGAGTCCCGAAGCTCAAGGAGACTTGACCCTTTTGAGGAAAGGACTGGTCCCCGCTTCTCCCCAACGTAGAAACTATCGCCCACTACAGGAGGTGCACATACTGCATCCTCACTCGAAGGAGGTAACAAAGTGCAGCACCCTCTCTTAAGTTAATCTGGTGCTCATGTATAGCTTGTGCTGTCTTTCGAGACGTCACGGGGTCATTTCTCTGAGTGAAGAAACGACGGCGGTAAAACCGATACAAATAAGTGCCTTATGAGATGTCCTCTGAGGTTCAGCACTGCCTGAGCTTGATTTTGCAGACAGTGTTTGATTGCTTACAGTGTTGCGTAAAGTACATAACCTCTCATTTACTTTATACTTCCAAGTAGTTTTTAGACATACTTTACGCAACACTGTGAGCAATAAAACACTGTCTGCAAAATCAAGCTCAGGCACTGCTGAACCTCAAAGGTGAAATGATACATCCGCAGTACATCCTTGACCAAAAAGAAGTACGCAACAATTAGGCATGCAGAAGCAGAACCAGCTATTAAAGCATTTCTGTGAAAACACAAGCCACTTTATATTCGGCTAGCAGAATTTCGCTAACGCATCAAAACCTATGTAAGTACTTCCTTGTTAGCATAGAAAAAAAAATGAAAGTAACTTCAAAAGTAATTTGCTACTTTTTTACGGTAATTAGTAATTAAGTGAATTACTCTCCATTTGAGTAATTTCTACTCTACTCATACTACTTTTGAGGCTAATACTCAGTAATTTAGCTTAATTACTTGTTTGAGTAGCTTGTACATGTCTGCTGCCAGCCCGCCACCACATAGGAGAAAACAAAACAGATAAATAAATGTACAGAATGTACACACTACAGAAAGTACGTAAAAAGGAAAGAAAATGAGGAAGAAAATATGTATTACATTATGACGAGGATGCCAACTGCATCCCCTACATTGTGGCAAGCTCTCGTGACCCTGCCCCGTTTGACGGCAGTGGGCTGCGCACACTGAGCGTAATTGTGCAGTTGTCAGTCAATGTTTTAACTACCTCGTTGCATCAATGGAAACGTCAAATGAAAATCACGTTATCCAGAATGCACCGCATCATTTGTCACTTGCGCAGTGGACTGCGTAAATTACTGGTCGATTTTCTGTTCTTGAGGCAGAAAATGTTCAAGAGAATCACACTCGCAAAAGCTCACAAACGCACAGTTGCCGTGCCGCCTGCTCCACACCTCTCCGTAATCGCTGGTTGTACTAAACTGTGCGATGGTAACCGCGTGACTGCGCGGCTTCCATTTGCAATCCATGGCCCCGTCGCGTTCGTGCGCGTGCGCAGACATTTGCCAAATTTTTGCTGTATCTTTGCGAACTTTCCTTCAAAATTTCGGCATGTGCGGAACTTTGCCGTATCTGAAGTTCGGCAGATTTGGTCCATCACTAACTTTTACAGCGTGTGTGTGTGTAGGCGTTGTAAAAGAGGGGGGGAGAAGAGGGCCAATTGTGTATGCGCACCGGGCGCCTCTGGTCACTGGCTCCTTTTACGGCGCAGGCGATAGACTCCTAGCAACGACGCTCACGCCGGATTGGCTGCTCAGCAACGCGCGGGAACTTAAATTTTGGATTCGGACGGCGCGTTTCTCATTCGAAGCGCGTTAACCCACCCCCGCGCCGGCGTTCACGCCGCTTCACGGCGACAGTGTGCGGCTGCTAATTACTAAACTATTATCCCACTTAGCAACCCACCCTACACGCCGCTTCGCGGCGTCCATTGGGCAACCCAATCCCCGCTGTCCCCCATGCACTGCCGTAAATAGAGTCCCATACGATTTTGTTCAGAGATGTTTCGTCAACAACATTCGTTTTTTTTTCGGTTTTAATTGGGAAAAAAATGTCGTAAATATCGCCAAATGCCTCGACAAAGCAAAATGTTCGAGGAAAAAAATAAAAGAAGTAAGCCCACACCATAGATAAAACCCGGGTCTGATACGTATGAGGTAGACATCTTACCACTAAGTTAGGCTACCGCTTCGGAAACTCGCATTGTATCCGCTGCCTATGTTGACGGCGGCAGCGCCTATCTCCGCGAACCAGCCAATCCGGCGTGACCGCCGTTGCTAGGGTTTGTATCGCCTGCGTGTTAAAAATATGCCCGCGCGGGTCAGGAGGCGGTGCCCTTGGTATTCCTTGGGCGCCGCCGGCCAGTCTTTGCCCTGCCCAGTGACCGCCGTTTTACGGGGGGGGCAAAACACATGCCTTGCCCCCCCACTCTGAGAGCTGGGGGGGCAAGCGCCCCCCTTGCCCCCCCGTTTGGTACGCCCATGGTTGATGCTAATATTTGGAGAAGTAAAAGGAAACATAAATGTTTCAAATATGTATTTCACAGCATCTCTATCCACCGTATTAGTTTGTTTCATCTTAGGTCAGAACTCAGTCGAATGCTCAAACACATACTGTTATGAACGCATATACTAAAAGTGCAAGTCTAGGGGTATTCACTGCACCTGGTTGGTTTATTGAATGAAAGAGCATGTGCAGATTGATGACGAATCCCATAATCTCGTGCTTTTGACGCTCTGATTAGTCTCATATCATTGCATGCGCTTTGACTTGAGATGAAATGAAGTGTAGAAATCGATAGTCAACTGCACTAGTCTCGTCATTGTCGGAATTTTCGGACGATGTCGGAAATGTCATGAGCTAAGAGTCACAAGAAGATTTGAAAAATTGTGGGATGTAACAAGGCATAAACAAGGTCTTTTACTCCTGACGATATCACTCAATTATTACGTCTGCGACGTGCTTCTATGTCGTGGCTACAGCGTACCGTGGCAATTGCCCCGCTCGCGTCAACTGTCGCGTAGGGTTCGCATGGGTTAGCTCAATCACCTCAGAAATCATGCTCGGTACTATTGCAGGTCGACCTTTTTCAATCTTGACTGTAGTCTGACCTCTAATCTTAAAAAGCTGCGTCGACAAAGGAGAAAAAACGTGGGCCTATATTTGAATAAACACACTAAAGTAGTTCCCGTGCAGTGGTCAATCAAAACGGCAGCTAACTTAGACTCAACTTTTGTTTGACTGCCGCTAAGGCGCTGTATCACTTTAGTAAAGCGCAAATGTAGATTTCCATAATATTTCTGGGTGGTTGTTTTTGCAACTTATGAAATTAGAATCCTGTGTTCGGTGTTCATAAACCTTGGGGGGGACGTATTTTGAATGATAGACGTTTTAGTGGATGTGCTGATTCTTGCAGGCATTTTACGGGAATTATTTATATTTACCGACTAAATTAACTACCATGTGTAAAAGAGGGAGGGAGAGGGAGGCTTCATTTCAACTGAAGCGTTGCACTATGCTTCATTTTTCAACCATTTTCTTAAAAAAATTACCATCGTAAATGGAATTTTTTTTTTACCTGAGCCTTATTGCTAAAGAGAAAAGGCTGTGTATTTTTTGGCATCCTATCTGTTTGTGCTACAAAAGATAATAAGTAATATGCTTCACTATGAAAAAAGGACCCTCAATCATTATCATATAGGAACTGATTTAGTGCTACAATCATTATTTCATTTTCAAATGACGTTCTAACATATTTCGGTTTCTGCTCCGGAAGTGTCAGTGGCTGCTCCAAACCAATATTTCACCTGCTACAAAAGGTCCAATGCCACTTCCATCACTTTTAAATTACGTATGTACAATTTTTCACGTATGGACATTCACTCGAAAAAATGGGATGGGCGATCTCTCGGAGGCGGCGGCGTTCTTACAGGATTCTACTGTACTACCTTTTCCCCTTGTTTTACCAATCTTTTATATTTACTCATTGCAAGGTATCTTGCTCAGAAGTAAATAATAAACTAATTATGCCAAGCATTATTAATTTTCCCAAGTAGGCCCTTTGGTAAAGATGAATACAACATTAACCATTTTGTTTATCCATGATGCATACCTTTTGCAGGAATGATTGGGCCAACGTTCTGAATAATGCCCCGTACACCCCTCATTAACACAAATTTCGCGAATAAATTTCTTATAAGCACTCGCTATTATATATTCTTCACAAAATGGTTTCACGCGACATCCTTCGGCTTCGAAATCTCACCGGACGCCATGTTGATGAACTTTCACTTTAAGCCTAAAGGCAGTGTTTTTCAGCTCTGTCGAGTTCTTTTGCGTCACGATTGGCTGCGTCTGCCGTAGCAGTCGGCGACACAAAGGAGCGTTGTCTGGTACTCGATTTTTATAAATACCAATCTGTTTCCGGACCTGAGACAAACCTCATTGATCGAGAAGTCAACTCATCGGCAACCATGCATTCCCCGACAGATGCCACCGAGGCAACTCCGAAAGGAAACAAATAAACCTGTATTTGCGCAGGCCAAAAATGTCCCCAATCATACTTGCCGAGCTCTGTCACCAACGCAGCCACTTGACTTGCTGGGCCTTTGACCAGCACCAAGAAACGACTGCAATAACCAAGCGTCTGCGTGTAAACAAGTGTCGAAAGTGGCGGACGCTATTCGTCAACGTGGCGGAATGCGGCTTTCCAGAAGGGAAAGGGCGTTTCGTGAAACCGCCTCACGAGTATTTGATTTCTTTGTATATTCCTTATAAATACTATAGTCTAGATTACATGGAGACGTAATGACCTTGCAGGAAGACTCTTCTGCAGCAAAACAAAGCCATAACAAAACGCCAGCTTCACCCACCGTGGCTTCTTCGCCGTCTCAGGATGGATGGGAGGATGGCGGTTGGGAGAGCTTCGAGGAGGAGCCAGCCGCTGTGAGTCCCTCCCGATTTCAGCTCACTTTATTGATTGCTTGATTAGTAAGGTGCATGATTAGTTGATTTGTGGAACAGTTAATTGAAGAAATCAATTTACGAATGTTGCATTGATTGGTTCACCAGTTGATAAGTTCATTAGGTTAATTATTCTATTTATTAATTGATTAAGACATTTTATGTTCATTAAAATGGTAGATTTACAAATTAATCAATGAATCAAGTTATATATTTTACATTGGTCAGTTCATATAGTTGTCCACCCACATAATAATTTGTTGATTTATGTATAGAATAACTTTTACTAAGCAATCGATTTATTTACTTCTCATTTATTTATTAATAATTGATTCATGGATGAGTTGCTGATGACCTGAATCCCTGCCGCAGCCAAGCGAGAGCCACCAAGAAAGAACTGACTGCAAGCCGGCAAGTTCCTATAACTGGGAAAGTGGCGGTTCTCTGGACGATGCGACCTCAGACTTCTTCTCGAGCGCTGCTCAAGTCAACCCTTCCAAGCAATCTCGGGTGAGAATACTTGCATGGGCTGTTCGCTGGCAGAATGCCAGAGGCCCTCATTAACTGCAAAAGAAAGATAATATTTAGTACCAATGTGCTGAGTAGCACTATCGGATTCAATAACTGAAAATGTAGCTTTTGCCACCATACTTTGTACGTCTGTCAGCACTTGGAAGTGTTAAAAACAAAGCACAAATTTATTACAGGGAACATGTGACTACATAACACCATGGCGAATTGTTCTGTTTACTTCTGATAGATGGTAGCTCAGCTCTTAATGTTGGTGCAGCATCTACCAAGAGGGATGACTGTGCAAACCGAAAATTCTGTGTGGGAATTCCAGTATGCCTGGATAACTGGAGAGTTGTTGAAGTTGTAGGAAATGTTCTCGCCATTAGTACAGTCAAACTTGTTTATAACAAACAGCAGAAAACGCTACGATCAGTTTGATATAGCAAAACCCATTTACAACGAACTTTCACAATGCGTTCGTGGTAAGGCGAGAGCTTCTCTTCCTTTCTCATTTCTTCACTTCTGCCTTGTAACAACACACTATAAAGTTTTTTTGTTTTTTTTTTTGCATGAATGTAAAGTGTTTTTTTTTTTAGCTTATCTCCCCTTCTGAATCGCTTCTCTTCATGGGCAAACGCTTTGTGGTTAATTTTTTTTTTTCTGTGTGTGCGTGCAGAGTAGTTTTTAGCTTTCTTCCCCTTCTGAATCACTTCTCTTTGCTCAATTCTGTTTGCAACTTGAGTTTTTGGGATTTTCTTTCCTTCCTACAGTGGACTCCTCTTAAACGGAACTCGAAGGGACAGAAAAATTTGTTCCGTTTATCAGAAGTTTCATTAAAGCAAAGCACATAAAATGAGTGAAATATGACTTTATTTCACAAGCATGATGTCCAGCTAATGTAGCTGACTAGAAAAAAGAGGTAATGGTAGTTTGTTTTGCATTTTGTAATCGCTTTTTGACGAAGTAGGTGTGCATGCCTTGGAGGTACAAAGGTTTCTGTTGACTGCTGCACCTTCCCCAGAAATAGTCTTAAAGACTAGGCCGTGGCGCTTTTTAAAACGGCTGAGCCAACCGTCGCTCATTTTGAAGTTATCTATTCCCAACTGAGACGCAATCTCTCCAGCCTTTTCTTCGAGGATGGGGCCGCTGATCGGGAAATTAGCACTTCGCGCGCGCTTAAACCAGAGAAAAAGGACGTTCTCTATTTCCTCAAAAGGCGTCTTTCGCATCCTCCTTCGGTCGGTGGCAAAGCTTCCGCGCTTTACAGCGTCTTGAATCTTTTCTTTGTCCTTTGATATCCTTGAGAGTGTAGACTTCGGGATATCGAACTTCCTTGCGATCTCCGTCTTCGAGAGGTCACCACGATCCAGCTCTTGAAGGATCTTCATTTTCGTAGCAAGCGAGATCGCTTGGTGCGGCCGCTTTTTTACCGCTGCCATCACAACACGGCAAGCGGACGCTGGTTTGTGTACTCGATGGTAAACGTGACGCGCAACAGACGAGGCGCTAACCCTAATGGCGGTAGAAAGACTGGATTGGATTGCCTTAATATAATGGCTTGGATGGATGGATGAATGGCTGTACCGTACCCTTTGTAACGAGCGGCACCTCGCGTCACCTAGCCTAACAACTTTTTTTTTTTTTTTTTATAATAATATTTGTATAAATTTTGTTCTAACACAACCCCTTTCCCTTTAAAGTGTCCTCAGTCTTGGCTATTGCGTACTCCATGGTTGTGAGACTGCTGTAGCTATTTCCGATGTCCGCGGTCGCCATGGGTAGTTTCGGTTTCGGTCCCGTTTAACCGAAGTAAGCAAAAAGGGGGGTTCCGATTACCCGAAGAATTTATCATTAAATACATAGGAAACCAACCGAAACAACCTTTAGAGTTCCGTTTATCCGAATTTTCCGTTTAAGCGAGTTTCGTTTAATGGGAGTCCACTGTACTTCTTTTTTGGGGGAAGGGACAGGCTAGAAGACGATTGTTTGTGCGTCTTTGGAAGCCTTCTTGGGGGAAAAAGTTTGATATAGCCAATATGTTGTTTGTTATAAAAAGTACTTTTTACATGCATTTTCATTTAAAATTTGCGTGAGTTTGATATCGGCAATAATTCACTGTTTGTGGGTTCGTTCTAAACAGGTTTTTCTGCACAATGTTATGACAATGAGTTTTCTGACACAAACGTGAAGTAGTTCTGGGTCACATAAATGTATGATGTAAATGTTAATTGAGTTTTGTTCAAGCCATAAACCAGTAGTTCTCAAATGGGGTCTGTGGACCCTTTAGGGTCCCTGAAGGTCGTCCTAGCGTCCTTGAAGCCCCCGACCGTGAGTTAAGACGAGCAATAAAACCCTTTTTAATTGATGCTGGCCATCCCACAAAGGTAAATAGACCAAGCCATTTGTGCCGAACGAGTGGGGTTGATTATCCTCTGTTTCAGAGCTTCAAAAGTCGATTTGCACACATTTAGTTTTCATTTACCTTTTTGTCATCGCAAACGTCTAATATCGCCCTCCCCCCCCGGCGGATTAGGTCCCCCTTCACTTCCGCCGACCCAGAAGGGGTCCTTGAAAAATCGATGGTTGAGAACCACTGCCATAAGCACTTCTCTTACTCATAAGGTTCGACACACCACATGTTACAGCCATTGACAGACGCCAAGGAAATATTGTAGACTTCTAGGTAGATAACTTAGCACTTAATGGTGTTCATATCTGTTTAGGGAACTACTTTAAACCTGTTACTCTGTTCCATCAGAAGATTTGTGGATCAATGTAAAATTTAATGATAGAGACAAACCATTGACACAGTTATGAAATTCAAAAGATGGCTTTCACACTTGAGTGTCAATGGCTTTGCCACACTAAAAAAAACTAAGGATGCTAACACAAAATCTCATTGTGGGTATAGAACAGAAGAATACAGTATAGACCACTTACAACGTAACCGCTTATAGTGCAGGACCGGGTATAACGCGGCTTTTTTAAACCACCGGTTCGCCTCCCATAGAACTCCATGTAATTACATACCGCTTAAAATGCAGGCGCGCGAAGGGAAATACCGGTTATAGTGCGGTTTTCGGAAGAGCCCGGCGACCGCGCCGACTGACCGACGCTGAGAGCACGCTTCCCTGTGCGACACTAGATAACGGCGCGAGCCGCAAACGGCACTCGCGGGGCAAGGAGGTTGCTCGAAGAAGCGGGAAGAAGCGAAGAGAGAGGCTTCAGTTGCCATAGCGACGGAGGGACGCACGCACGTGTCGTTCACGTGTGTGCGTCCCTCTGCTGCGTTGGAAAACAACCGCAACGACAGACCAATCGCAACTCGAGGAGAAGTGTTCGCGCGCGTTGCATGCCGGTCGCGGGCCGGCTGCTTCTATCCGCAAACATCGCGTCGGTTTTGATCATCGACGGCGTAGAAGCTCATCGTTCTGCGTAAAAGCGCTATCCTTGACTGTGAATATTCGTTGTGTGTCGCTATGATAATCCAGCACGTACTAGAAGGGAAGATCCACCTACTCATGCGGTGATGTGGCGGCACTCTCAAGACGGCAGAAACGCCCGTGTCGTCGTGTTTGTTTACTTCGACTACAGTAGTGCTTTCTAAGCATTTGTGTTTTCGAACATCGCCCGGATTTCTTATTTGGAGCATTTCATGCCTGTGCTCAAGTTGAAGGTATCACTGGCGCGTATCGTATAAGGGATGCGAATTTTCACGCGTTTTCATCGCCGGAGAAAAGTAATTAGGGTTAGCAATCCTGAACGCTCGCAACGTTCGTCTGCAACCCGCGACGCCGTTAAAAGGCTGCGCCAGGCAAAAGTCGCTCATTTCTTTCAAAATGTGTGACACTTTTGAGAGAGAAGTGTACTAGTCTGATGAAATAAAGACTTTCCTCAAACTAAAGCTTTATTTTTCATCTAACATAAAATAAATTCTTTTACTAAGGTAAGTTGTCTGATGGCAGGCATTTTGGCCTGAAAAATTGATGTTTTGGTTATAGTGCGGTACCGCTTATAGTGCGGATTTTCGCGACTCCCGCGACATACGTTATATGCGGTCTACACTGTATAACTTAAAGGCTTGAACATTAACCACACAACCCAAATTTTAACAAAAGCTGCAGTGCTGAAGCAACGAGGTAATCCCAAATGATTAGCAAGTTGCTACTACATGAGTCCAGCTTAACATCTTTCAATAGAAGTATTATATTAGGCAGGTTACTGGTAATAGCATAGTGGATATAGGAATCAGATGTAGTGTGCTTGGTACCATGCTTCCCACCCAGGCCAAGCCGAAAACAACGTCAAAACAGAGTCCTCAAGGAAGAGAAGGCAACTCCTGGGAGACAGGAGACGACTGGGACAGCTGGGGATCGGGCCAAGGTCAGTGCAAAAGACATGCCAATCTACCTTGTCCGTCAGCATTTAGGTGGCTGCCACATTTCCGCCAAAATCAATCGGACGTCAGTACCAAAAGTGATCTAGTTGCAACTTAGAAGCGAGGCGAATTCTCGAAAAATTTGTCCCTTTCATGCACTGCAATCTTAATGTGGATCCCATTAATACGAGCTCCCCGCTATATTCAGCTCATCCATAAGTTGAGACTGCGGTGGAAGCTACGAGCACATCAGACCATCATATACGTCGATCCTGTGTCACGTGATTACGCTCGCTCGCATTCTCGCATGTAGAGCTGGGTCGAGTGACGAAAGGGAGGCAGTTGGTTGGTTCAGTGAAGGCGTAGCTCCCACCGCAGTCTTAGCTTAGGGATGAACGGAGTATACCACATACAAATACTCAACGATCTGACATCAAGCAACTGTGGTGGTGCTGCTGTGGGCACCACGCATCTAGGGATGTGCAGATTTTAGATTTTGACTCGGAAGCGAGTTCAGTGCGAGTAATGGTTTTGGCCAAACATATTCTAACCAAATATGAAATAGTTTCTCGAGGTTTTTTCTACTAGTGCACCGTGCATAAATGGAGGCCTAGCTGAACTCGTCAAGGTTAGTTTATAATTTATCTATATTTATGGGCTGTGGCCTCAGAAAGTCCAGTGCCTACATTGGGACGGCAAGTAAATAGCACATTTGACATAAAACTAAACTTATAGAGAGGGCGAGCTATACCTAATGGAGGAACTTATAAATCTTCTTGCTATATACAAATATCTCTACTTCAATCTCGAATTTAAAAAAAATAAAGAGGATGATCGCTAAAGATGAGTGCAAGTTGTCAGGGCACTTCTGTCTAACATTTACTCTTGCATATAGCAACAGTTTAATTTCAAAAATTTTACTGCAATGTAGATGTTAGCATTTACAAAGTTTTCGTTTCCTTCTAAATGCACCAGGCGCGCGCATGCACCATCGCGCTTTCATAGCATGCTTGCCTCTTAAGCGTGCGACTGCAACATTCGTACCTTTCGAAGTGTTGATTGCGGCGGGTTAGCCCCGTTGAGCATGCTTCTTAGCGAGCACCTGTACACTGCGGAGAAGCAACACCCGCAGAAGCGAGCACCGCGGGATTTGCTTCTTCACGGTGCACCGGTGCTCGGTGGGAAGCGCGCTCAATGGGGCTAACCCTCCGCAGTCCACACTTCGAAAATTGCGACTATCGCAGTTCATCTCAAAGCGAATGTTGAATAGCTTATTTTTCGAATCTATTATTCAAATATTCGCATAGGCCTACATAACACAATCTGTGTTTAAAAATGCTTGATTTTTTTTTTCTTTTTTTTAATTTTAGCATATTCAGAATTCTTCCAGTTGTTTCTCTTCATTTTTCCCTTGTCGAGGAGCAGTTTACGAACACTAAAAAATGAGAAAGTGGCTTAAAAAGGCTCGGGAAAAATGAAACGTCCTTGAGAACACAGCGTATCAATCCCTTTCCTATTTAATGTAAATGGGGGCGGTGCCATACTTAAATAAAAAATAGTAATAATTTTCCAAATCCTGCACCCTCAATATTTCAGCGGACTTGCAAGGTTTTGACGTAAACATTCCCGATTCAGTATTTTGTGATCTGGTCACAGTAAAACCAGCAGGAGCCGTTGAAAACAAGACAGAAATCTATCGAGAACTCTAAAAGGAGGTATAGGAGATTTCGTTTTTAAGTCAAAAGCATTACTTAAAAAAACATCCTGAAATAAAGAAACAATTCCTTTCAAGTAATGTTATCTAGGTATCGTAGGGCACAGGTGTGAGTTGATAATTAGTAGACTAAGTATCTAAAATTAGGCTTTCATGTTTTTAAGTAAAATCGAAAAAGTAAAAGAAAAAACCCCACTAAAATATTTGTAACATTAAATTTATTAAGAATGCCCTAATATACCAGGTCCCTGCGACAATAAAAAAAAAAACCCGGCACTTCACATTATATTACTTTATTTAGTAAAGTGTACAAGAGTGCATACACGTCTTGACCAAGCGCGTGAAATAAGAGCAAAAATATTTTTTTGGAGTTTAGTGTTGCGTGTTCCAAATACTTATATTCGTAGTACTCCTACTGCAAAATACCGAGGAAGAACCCACCCCATTTTCACTCAGCACTAAGTTAATCTAGACATGGGCGGTTTTCCGGTAAAACGGGTGGTTTAACGCTTACTTCGCAGAATTCCCGAGTTTGGGAAATGTTAACATAGTGGGCGCTTGAAGGAAGTGGATGCTTCGGTGGAATTTCGCGGTAATTTGTTTCGCTTTTCCACGTGCACGGCTTTATTAGACCGGTACATAGTATTGGCATTCTTTTAGCGTCCTCGGGAAAAGGCGACGCCAAGAGCGACGACGCGCGGCGGCTGAGAGAGGAAAAGCGGCTGCAGCGGCAGAAGGAGCTTCAGGAGCGTCGAGCGGCACGTCAGGCCGCGGGGCCCATGAAGCTGGGCGTCAAGAAGGACTTCTGAGCGAGCGCTTTACGAATGTTCACAATAAAACCAACTGTTACCGGGTCGCTTTTACCGTTTACGCATGGCTTCGTTTGCTCTTTCTCTCTCGTGCGTGCTTGCAGTCATGTGACCCCAAGATGGCGGCCGTCGACCTCTTTCCAACGAACCTTTAGATGGGAGCAGAACGCGGCAAAACCTGAGCGCTGACGTCGGAGGTCCCAAAAGAAAGAAAGCGACAGAAGAGCAGAAAAAGAAAGCAGACGAAAGGTTAGGTGTGTTCGTTTTGCCGCGACGAGTTGAAGTTGCTCGAGCGCTTGTCAACTTTATTTGCTATCCGGCGCGCGATTCCTGTGTTCTTCTGCAAAGCAAGCTAGTAAAGGACTAGGTACAGACCTTACAGGCAATGGTTTGCTGCCGCTTCCTGCATATTAAGGCATTGCCACTAATATGGGCCGATCAGGACCACGAACGTCCGCGTCTAAGCCCCGCTGTTCCAAAGCGGCCCGTCTGCATGAGACCTTTCCCTCTATACAAGATTATTATATTAAATCTATGCCCTCACCATCAAATCCAAGATGGCGGGCGAAACCTCAAAAAAGAGTAATAAGTTTTTTGGTTTTTTTTTTTTGTTTTTTTACATAAAAATGCCGATAAAAATGGGCTGGTCCACGAAAGCAAGAATGCCAGTATGTAAGACCAGCAGCCAGCAAAACACTATACATCATTATACAATATTGTAGACTAAAAAGATAGAAGCAAAACAAATCATGATATAATAGAATGCCTCTAATGAAGTGATATACTGGATTAGTGTGAGAACATATGGACGCCATTTACACAGTCTTTTTGACCAGTCGAATGGATGATATATGAAGACTAGTAAAGTGTAAAGTAATCAGGGTATGTAGTGCCGTTTTTCTTTTCTACCGTCATTTGTGAATATTAAGAGCGAAACAACACAAGTGCAAAAAGTGAAAGTATGCAGGCGAGCTACCTGGTTATGAAACATAGTCTAATGTTGTATACCTAATGTACAAGTTATTTATATATATATATATATATTTTTTTATTCCCCTCTTTGCCTGGTAATGCCTCTGGGCACTGATGGTAAAATGAATGAGTGCTTTTGTGCACCAGACGATGCTACTTCAAGCGGAGGGTGCAACCACATCGAATGGTCATTATGTTCACCGGTCTGGTTTAGATGTAGTGCTGGTCAGGAGGTATCGTCATGGGAAGAATATAATTCTGTTCCAGTTAATGCTAGACTGGATTTGCATCACCTTAACGACAGCAGACGTTTCGCTAAAATGTTATGCGGAGTGCAAGTTTGTCTTCTTTTGCAGGGGCCAGTTCTGATTGGCTCCGACTGCTAGTGGGTAACCTCAAAGCAAGCTGCCTTGAGGTCTACCCACTATCCTTCAATCAGCCAATCAGAGCTCGGCGTTGTGACGTCATCACAACCTTTTCAAAAGAAGCAGACGAACTTGCGCTCTGCATAGTTTCTTCCCGGATGAGGCAAATATGAGGGGGGGGGGGGGGGGGGATATGTTTCCATGAAGCGAACCGAAGTTTGTTGTTATTGAGGAGTAGAGAAAGGTCTATAGAGGCGGGCAAGGCAACTTGGTTATACTTCGTTGCATCACCTCATGTTGGACCGCAGCTGACGCTACGAGCCATTCGCGCGTGGAGGGAATCACGTGATTACACGCTCCGCCAGCTCCCCGCGGCATCTACGCACGTTTTCACTTCATGAACCGTGCTATACTTTGTTTCAGCTTCGGTCCGAGCGCGGCCGATGTTATGAGCGGAAGGGCCAATCAAACAGCGAAAGAGGCACAACGTCATTGCGTGCTCTCTGCAGTTGATAGGATCAGCTGGTATTCGCCGTTTCTCTGTGCTTGCTCCTCCGCCGGCTAGTCCCATCAAGCGCAGAGAGCACACCATGACGCTGCGCTTTTTGCGCTGTTTGATTGGCCCTTCGGCTCATAACATCGGCCGCGCTCGGACCGAAGCTGAAACGAAGTATAAAACAATCGGTGAACATTACTGATTTTCCCCTCTATAAAATAAGTAGGTTTATTTTAGATTAGATATGTGTTATCTTATCAAGACGTGCACGTTTCAAACGCCAAGAGCATCGCTTCGTCCGACAACCGAATCTCGTAAAAACTACTCCGTGCGGCCTGTGAACACTGCGCAAAACTTTTTTTTTTCTTGAGATAAAAATAAATATGGATCATGCTTCTTTTTTCTTTTCTACATTACGTATCTATGATACCGAAGTTATTCTCGGCTTGCCCAAAAGCACTCAGCAACGATATCCGCATTTGTATATGCTCCTCAGAGTGGCTACAGAGTATACTTCAGCTACTGCGATTATCAGCAATGCACTCGGCAAAGTATACCACTGCACTCGAACGTCTTGGATAGAGAGAAAGAGTTCTGTAAAGAGAAGAAATACCAAAAGAAGGGATCCGAACGTCTTGGCGAGTGCACAGGAACTCATCCGCTGAATGCCCGCGGCGGCTTCGACGTAGTATGTTGACAGTGCCACAGCCAGAGCGGCGAAGATAGCATGCCCAGTCAGTCCAGCACTTGATAAGGGCATCCTTCGAGGACGCAAAGCGCTCTGTCAATTCGATAACGCCCAGCTCGTGCCGATAGCGTGTTTCCCACACCGACCCCGGGCCAAAAACCTTTCGCAGGGTCGAGGTCTATCATCCTTCACATTCTGTGGACCGACCAGAACATTTTAGCAGTCGTGGTCGAAGCGGGTACCCCCTACTGAGACGGGCGTCCGTTAGTGAGCTGTGGGGATCGGCCATTAGGGCGTTATTTGACCAGAGGCGCAAAAGCGGCAGGGTGTGTTTGTTACTGAATGGTTCGTTTTTTGGTGGTGCGTGCTCGTGTGGTGCCACAGCGAGTGTGCAAGATGGTGCGTTCCGCCGACTGAAGACGTCTAAGGAGCTACAGAAATACACTGGTAAGCTTTTTCCTTTTTTTTTTTTCTTTTTTGTATTATTTAAGATTGCGTTGCACGTATGTTTGTCACTGCATGTGTAACGGCGTTTCGTCTCGGACACAACTTTCTCTGGCAATGCAGTCCGAGGTTATGGGAGTGCACCTAGAGCTCCGATTAGAGCTGCGCACGCACTTTTCCTTCCTTCGGAAATACCGCAGAAAATTTACTGCTCGCGAAAAATATACTAAATCGCTATCAGATCTCCGGTGAACATATACCTCTAATATTCCACGCGAAAGTAGCTATTTCGAGAAAACCGTTCCGTTAGCCACTGACCGAGACGTTTTTCGTTTCCCTTCGTTCTCAGTCACGTGGGTTCCGTTTCTGGTATGTGGGACGAAAAATATCATGACATTTCAACCTGGAATATGCGAGAAAATATAGGTGAGGCAAAAGAAGAACGTGTGACAATCGCGGATTTTTCGTGAACACCTCGCCGCATACCAGAAGTCACGACGTTCAAGATGGCTGCGCCCTTGTGGAAAACGTGTTAAGAGTTGAGGGAAAGATCCTCCCTCCCCTTTCCACATTAGCAAAGCGAAACCTGGAGAGGAGGCGATTTCTCCTCCAGCGGTCGCTCTGGAAAAGTGGAAGGGGGTGGGAGGAGCCACCCCACAACTCTTCTTAACCTGTCATCAGAGATGTATGCGTTACCGAGAATAGAGTAAACAAATACCGTTACTCGCAACTGTTAACTGCGATTCAAAAGGAACGTGTTACGTATCATCTTGAGTGTAACACGTAATTTTCTCGTTACTCTGGACGTGTCGTTTTTAGGGAGTCTTAGCCGCTTCCACTAATTGTCGTCGTTAGTAAACTTGATTTTTAAAGCATGAAATGCTTTTAACGCTACCCCCTCAATCTCAAAATTTTCATCCGTTTGTCCGTTCGCGAATTTCCCGCTAAATTTAGCGGGGAAATCGATATCACGAGGCCTATAGACCTTTCCATCGCTTATCGCCCAGGCGAAAAATGTCGAGTCACTGGACTGTTACGCAGGCGCGGCGTACGATTTTTTCGCAAGAGGCGCTATTGCGCGTGCTTAGAAGGCGTTTAACAGTCCAGTAAAAACAGATGGCAGCTCGAAGAAGGCGTTTGTTGGCAAGGTCTATACGTGGGACCAGTTTCTCAGCTAAATGTAGCGGGAAAATTGATGTCACGAGACCTGATCTCATTCTCACGTGACCTATATTTCAATTCAGCTGCCCGCTAAATGTAGCGGGAAAATTCACGTCTTCTGACCTAGACAGCAATCCAATTTCCCCACTAAATTTAGCGGGGAAAGTCGGCGTCACGTGACACACCAATTCCCTAAAATGCATTATAAGACTTAGAAGCTAAAGGATTTCCCTACACACCCTAGGGGGGAGGTATACGCCCCCTCCCCTTCCTCCCCCGCCTCCCCCCCCCCCCCCCCCCCAAAAAAAAAAAAAAAAGACACCCCTTAATTTCAGTTCCTGGGGAAACCCCTTCCTACTGGGCATCTTTTTATGGTTTACCTATACTCCGCGACAACTTTTGTTGGCAATGCAGTGGAAGGTACAGGCCCGCGTCCCCTCTCCCATCTTGAGTGTGCGGGGGCTCTCCTCGTCTCCCCGGAAATGGGGGAGGAGGAGAGCCTGCATACACTCAAAATGGGAGAGGGGACGCGGGCCTGTACCTTCCACTGCATTGCCAAGAAAAGTTGTCGCGGAGTATAGGGCTTTCTTGTGCAGACTACAGGCCCATGCTGGGGGGAGGACTATGCTGGGTACTTGGGTTGTAGAAGTTCCCTCCTCCAGAAGGAACTGAACACCCTTGCTCGTTACTTCATCAAAAAGTAATAGAAATACGTTACTCGTTCCTTCTTTTAGAAAGTAATTAGGTCGTTATATCTTTACCGAAAACCTAACTAGGTACAAGTAGCGCGTTAGTTGTAACGCGTTACGTACGAGTCTACCTGTCCTTTTGGCGTCGACGATTAACTTGTCCGCTTGGGAGGAAAACGATGTTCTCTTTTGTCGGAGTCCTAACCCCACACGGCGCCGGCTTATGACGTGTAAATACGTCATATATTTTTTTGCAGTCTGACCAAAATCGTTGAGATGTAGCTTGACAACGCTATTTATAATGCTCTTGCATGGGACCTGGGTCATAACTAGGGCTCTGTGTTTTAGGCGTTTATTTTTCGTGAAATTCGGAGGGTGTTTTTCGGAGTTTATTTTCTAGCAAAATTCGGCGTTTATCGGAGTTTATTTTTTGTAAATCCCCAATTCTCCGAAATTCGGAGATTAATTTCGCAGTGTTTCCTATTAAAAAATAACAAATAATAACCAGATGCAAACGTATTCCAGATAAACAATAAAACGCGCTTGTATCAATTAAGATTTCTTCAGTTAAATTTGGCGTTGGTGTCATTGGCAATACTAATTTGTCCCACGACACAAGTCGCACACGAGTGTGGCTTCGATAAACGTCGATACCTTAAAATCAATAAACTGCCGGAGGTAGCCGCAAGGAAGCTTGTAGTCATCCCATCAATCTATCCCGCGTCCGCGCGAGGTGGAGTGGTTAAGGATGTAATAGAGAAGTTTCAACTGCCCCTCTTCCCTATTTTATACAATCTTTATGGTCCATAGCTTTCACTGTTACCCCCCAAAAACAAGCCCTCTCCTTTCTCTAAATCCCGAATCCCATGGCCCAAACTGGAAACCAGAAGAGTGGCTTTTGTCGTGACACGACTGGTATGATGACCTGTTTCCCTGAACCAACCTTGACGAGGCAAGCCGTAAGACCCCCTTTTGACAACAGTCCCAGGCTTGAAATATAATTATGGTGTCATTTTCCCAGGACCACTGAGCATGCGCTGCTCCAATTGTAAAAAAAAAATAAAAAAAAATACGGTGTTTTTTAGATAAGCTTTATAAGAGCACAGGGTCAGTTGTCCTGAAGAGATGCCACTTCAGTTTCCTTTGAAATCTCTAACAGTTTCTTCCTCCCCTCAATACTGAACCACTGGAGCTCAATAAACGTTTTCTCAGCCTGGACCTGAATCTCGAACTATACTGACAAAAGGGGTTTGCCTTTTAGCACGTTGAGGTTCCTTTAGGACAACGGGCCATGGTACCCAAATATATATTTTGTTTGTGAATTTTTTTTTTAAATTGTGAACACAGTAAAATAAACTGAATTTCATATAACTGGGAATTTAACAAAAATAAACTCCGATAAGCATCGAATTTTCAGCGAAAAATTAACTCCGAAAAACACCCTCCGTATTTCGCGATAAACTCCGATATCACGAAATCCTATAGTCAGAACAAATAAGTAAACGTACAATCTCCACTAATATTAAAGGAGGAGAGGAGAAGCGTTGTAATAGAGGATCCACTTGGAGCATGTAGCCGAGACGAGACGGTGGTTGGTAGTGGCGCGGCGTGTGTTGTGGCCAGTCCCATACCGCTCTGTGGGGAGCGAAAGTGAAAATGCGTTAGCGTGACCCTCGGGAAACGCCAGCGGCATTCGCTGCCTGACACTGCTTTCGCTATTCACCGGTTTCGGCAGCCCGCCTTCGTTTGCAATCCGTCGTCTTTTTCCGCCTACTTGGACCAGCGCTACTACTTGGTTCACGGTCCATTTTGTAGCACAAACCAAGGCATACGCGCTCCGCAAACCTGCAGCAAGTTCAGACTCGCACCAGCATCTGCGCGCGCATTGGCTTCCGCCCCGTGACGTCATTTCCCTCTCGCCTCTGTCCTTCACTACCCTCCTCCCCTCTACGCGGCGTATTTCCCTTTCCACAGTTTTCTCCACAGACGGACGCCGTCAGCTTTTACCTGTCATCTGGGTGCTAACGCGTTAAAACGCAGCCAAACTGAATCGGCGCGCTCTGACGAAGCTCCTTCCCTTCCCTTGACCCCACCTACCGCGGTCTCGGCCACGCCCTCCGGGTGGGCCTCTAATATTGGTGGAGATTGTACAGCAAAACAAACATACACTAGTACATACACTCAACTAAAAAATATAGAGGGCATGAACTTGGGCTAATTCATAATTCATTGTAGAGGATAAAAGCGCTAAAATAAACCGGACAAGTAGAAGAGTGACGGACACAGTGCACAAACCGTTATGTGAGAAGCGCTGCCCCCAAATTTCCGGAAGACGTGTTCAATAATACCGCACATTTTGGACGAAAATAATCCCTGGAGAAGGGAGAGTTTGGAGATTTGTGTTTGTTCGTTGTCCATTTTGTTCCCCTTCTCTAGAGATTATTTTCGTCATTCTCGCCCAGCTCGCTTGCACCTTCGCATTATAATTGCATTATCAGCACATCTTTGCTGGCTTGACAGAATGGTAGACCGCGAAACATCCGCTTTTTATATGGCAACATTAAGTTGCTTAAAAATTAACACTGTATAATCTAGGAATTGTCAGACCGATGATGTCTAGCAAAAAAAAAAAAAAAAAAGAGTAATAATGTTGTGTGTATGTTTATACAGCCAGAAGTTAGTCAGCCTCTATGGGCGTCTGGTGCCTCTGCTGAAGATAAGAAATTTAGCCAGTGCAATACAACCGCTATAGCCTGGGGTCTTGTTAAAGTGCATCTCGCAGTAGTGATACACAACCGCACGCCGGTACAATGCTCATCCAGTTCGAAACGGCAGGGTGGGGTATTGAACCCAGGATCTTTGGGCTCAAAAACCCAGTGTCTCTGGGCAGTAGTTTGCTTGAAGAGGGCCACTGGCACACCAGCCCTTTTCGGTGTGGGCGGGGCTTCGATTTTTTGTAGGACTCTCCAGCAGATCACACCTTGCAACAGAACTCTGAAGCGTGAATCGTAAAGCTGCGGTCACGTTACTAGAACATCACACTGGTCATAAAAAAACTGCCTGCAGATAAGTATGAAGCAAACATATGCTTCGGACATACTTAAAAAAGCACCGTGAGGTCAAAATTATATTTTTTTTTATTTTTATTATCTGAAACAATTGAAAACGATGCCTAAACATTACCCTCAAAATTCGGAACTTGGGAACTTAGTATTTGTGAAGCAAACAAACAATTTCCCAAAGACGAATTTGGAGTTTCCGTGCGATCCGCGCCAGTGCAGTGACGTCAAAGATTGAATTGTCCTGCAGCCCTAGTTTCCCTGACACCTCCGTGTCGTGTTCACCTTCGTCCCGCGATGAACCGCCCCGTGCGTGCCGCATATCGCTGTGAGCAGACGACGCTTCACTTTCGAGTTTGATATTGTTCTAGGGCCCTTTCAGCGATCTTAAATTATTTGAGACGCTGTGAGGTCGAAGAAAACGAGCACTGGACTTTTGTGAGCGACGTGAGGGGTCACGTCGCGCCGGTTCTGCGTGAAAGAAAGTCTTCCCCGGCGGAGTCACAACCGAAACTAGGGTACAGAGACCCAGTTGTTTTGACCGTTTTTGCGATTTCCTTCTAGAAGTCGGATAGGTCGTCGGACACCTAAAAAGGATAACTTCGTCCGATACCCCGACTCACCGATCACCCTCAGTGCTGCATGCATCGAGCACCGCCATGTTTTCCCTTTCCGAGGGAGGGTAAGAAGCCAAGAGACGACATCACTCCGGACTGATTTTTGGGCATTTTAAAAGGAAAGACCGCAGTGCGCTCGCAATTGCGTAAAAACAAAAAAGGTTGGACGAATGTTGTTATTTAATTTCGTAATCGATTACGTCAAAAAATGAAAAGAAGCGAGGGGGTGAGCAGCGGGAGAGAAAAAAGCCAAAAAAATAGAAAGGCGCGCACGCGCGTGGTAAACAGTCTTTTTTTTTTTGCGTCCTGGTGTTTTTTTTTTTTTTTTTCTTGTCTATGACAACAATTTGTATCGTTTATGACAACAAAAACAAATTCGACCTTTGGGGTGTCAGTGCCCCCCTTTAAGGCATGTCCGCAGATATTTCTGTCATCATGTCCGCAGCGAACGCCGTGCCTTGTGTACGTGCTGAGCAAACTGAACATAATCAGATAAACATGTAAGAGGAAAGGAGGTGGTGCATGCAGAGACTTAGGCATGAAAGCCTAGTGCTACTTTAATGATAATGTATATTTTTTCCACTGTTGCAGATACCGTTTGAACGATCACAGAGCCTCGGAAGAAGCTGGCTACGTCAAGCCATGGATCCGGTAGCCCGGATGTCGTTTCGCTGCACGGACTTCTCCTTGGAAGTTTTCGCGCTCTTCTTCAGCGTATCTCAAGCGACGTCAGCCTCCTTACTTCAACTCCTGCTCGAGATCAGCAGCTGCCTCAGCAACGCTACCACCGCACCCGACAGTTCAGACATAGCGCAATGCGTAGCAATCGTCAACAACCGGACAGCACCGGTCGGCGGACAAGCGGAAGAAGCCGTTCCACTGCAAGACATCGTCTTCAACCTCCCAACCATCAGCCTCATGTGCTCCCTTCTCATCTGCGTGCTCCTCGGGGGATGGTCTGACTCCCATGGTCGAAAGCCACTCTTCATCCTTCCCATCCTTGGCGCTCTCTCGAAGGACATCTCAAGCGTCATCTTTGTCCTTACAGAGTTTCTTTACGAAGGACCCATTTACGCCATCACGATCGTTTCGGGGATCCTGGGCGGCGTCAACCTCTTCATGGCGGGCGCGCTGTGCCATGTCAGTGACAACTCGGACCACAGGACTAGAACGCTCCGGTTCGGCGTGCTGTCCTTCGTCTTCTTCGTTGGCGGTGCGATTGCGACGTTCTTCGAGAAGGCCTGGAAGCCCGCGATGACGACCGGCACGTCGTTGACGATGGTCGGCGGAGGACTGTTTACCGTCCTGATGTTCGTCGATCTGGTCTGTCTGATCGGAGTGACAGTCTGGGTGAAGGAATCGCTGCGCGTTCTGCCCGGGTACAGCGGCAACCCTTTCCAGAACTTCGTGTCCCTGCACTACGCGAAGAAAGTGCTGGATGTTGTGTACAGGAGACGGAATCTCAACGGCAGGTCGTTCGTCATCTTGCTGTGCCTGGTGTTTTTGCTGAGTCGCTTTGTCTACTGTGGTAAGCAACTGTGCGATTCATATTTTTGCCGAATTATTGGCAAGCGGCTGTCTATAGATTGTTCTAGTAATAGTCTTCCGCGCGCTGCCATCGTTGTTATTGGACGCGTTCTAAATATGCGCAATAGCTCTCCTCTATGATATCGAAGGACGCATGCATACACAGCTCAATGACTCAGCATTTTTCGCTTCGGGGATAAGCTGTGCAAAGCTGTACAACGGCGTGTTTTCTGCGAGTATACATGCGTACTTTGACGGGGGCGCGCGGGCAATCACTGCAGTGGTATACAATCGAACTACTTGCTATATCGAACTGATCGCAGCGTTTCCTGCTGTTCGTTATATACGGGTTTGACGAGACCTGTCGGTGCTTAGTAACATTTTATTACTTTCAATACTAACTATATATAGTTAAAGGAGCTGTGCAACGATATTCATTTGGAATGTTTTTCTCTGTACACGAGCTTACTGGCACACCAGGGACTCAATGATACTCACACGCAACGCCATTGGCCAAGAAACTCCTTTGCTGCGGTGTAATTTCAAGGACAAAAGCGATCATTTTCATTCAATCTCTCCTTTGCAAAATTTGATGACGTAACTCGGGGATTGCAGTACACCCAAGTGACGATATTTGAATGCGGTTCATAGATTGGACCCGACCATTGCGTGGGCACTCGACTTGTGCTCGTGACAATTGCTAGCTCGAGAAGCATTCGGGTTGTGACCCGTGTCCAATCGCTGCAACGGCGACAACAGCCGAGCCATAACAATGTCTGGAACTCAGCGCGTGTCCTGCGCTTTGCCAACCCCAGCGCGTGGCTATGATCAACACTGGCGGCATATAATCGGCTCCAGATCACGTGGCCGCTTGTTCTGGCTGCGAGTTGAGGGGGTGAACGCTGCTCATTTTTCTTTAATTTTTTTTTCTGAGTCTTCTATTGCGTGGGGTGAAAAACGAACGCGTGTTTTATAGGTCATTAACGTCAGGGATCCGTTTTAAGCGGTATTTGCGCAAAGTACAAAAATTGTTGCATTGCTCCTTTAAGTTAGCCCATCCGCTTCTTTCTAACTGATGGCTTGAACAAACAGAAGCAAAACAAAATATAGTAGACAGAGTGCAACTGCCGTTCATTGCACGTTTTAACAAAACATCTGGAGGCCTGAAAGCGCTCCTTTGGCGATGAGAGCAAAAGGAGTGCAACTGGAGAGCCGACTTTGTGCTTATCTTCATGTAACTTACGGGCGAACTATGCGAGTGTCCAAGATGCATCCGCGATTCGTAATGGTCAGCTAACTTCTCCAAAAATCAAACTCACGCGCAGCCGCTTCCTCGGCATATCAGAGAAAAATAGAACACTAACCTGACCCCTGCAGGCACACTGATTTTGTAGCAGTTGACTGTTGATGAGAGGCACGGAGGGGGGGAGGTGGGGGACAGGTCTAAGGTTTAAGGTTTGCACTCTCTCTCGTCGGCGGGTGCGCAGGCGAGCAGGAGGTCTGGGCCGAGTACCTGTACGGCCGCTTCAGCTGGACGCACCAGACGTCGCTGCTGCTGGGGCTCCAATTTCTGTGCGAGGCCACACTCACGCTACTGGCGGTCTGCCTCGCCAGGAAGATGGGTATCCAGGACTCGTCGCTCGCCATCGCGGGAACGCTGTCCTTCGTCGCTTCGTCGGCACTCAAGGCGCTCAGCCTCTCTGGAAGCAGCATCGGATTCGGTGCGTGTCTCTATAGAGTAACCGTGTACGCCTCTTACTCTACAGCCGCTTTCAACATGCGCCAGATTGAGCCGCCATTGCCGACCTTCACTTGTCTTGCCGAGAGGCTGAACCACCGGGCGTTGACAAAGGCCTGTGCTTGAGAGAACGACGCAGTAGCACCTAAAGTGGGAATAACCATGATGTGGCAATGATGAAGTAAAGCGAACGGAATAAGAAGGTGGGAAGAGAGTATGACCATTCCGTGACGTCATGGACTTTGAGCGCAGAATTAAAATAAATCTCACGCCGTCAATATTGCACGAAACATTTGTTTTTTTCGCGCCAAATTTCTTGACACGCGTATCCCAACCAAACTGTTACAAAAAAAAAAAAAAACTTTTTTTTTAGGGGGCTTTTAAGAGTAAATCATTTAGTGTGAGTACAATGTTCTCGCGCGAAATCATTGTATTCAGTATGAACACATTGTAGTATGAACAAAATGTTTCTGTTCTTTTTGCGTAAAGTACATTCGTGGCCTGAATACTTGGCAAGTTTCCGCTAGACGTTGCGCGGCAAGGCGCTATGCTTGACCTTTAAATGTTCTTGCTAAATGTAGCAAATATTGTTCAAATAGATATCTAATGTCTCGGTGTCAGTGGAGAAAGAACAGCGGAACAAACTCTATGGGCGTTTCGTGGATAGTTTTGCATGCGCAGTCGTGAAGGACGTCAGCGAAGTGAAACCGAACCTAAAGCATTTCATGCATTCTGCTCTCGCTCTCGCCGGCAAAAAGTGCCACAGAGCGCGGTGTGACATCATACCACGGGGTTGTTCGTGCGGGACACGTTCTGTTGTCTCTGGTCTTTTGTCAACAAGATGAAAGTTGTGAGTGATTTTTTTTATATTATTATTTGAATATATCATACAAATGTGCGCGCCGCAAAAAAAAAAAAATTGTATGATGTATCGTTTGATATGTTCGACTCCAGTGAGAATGCAACACTTGTGCCAACTTACATGGTGATAACAAATTAGAACTATACCTGCGATTGTATTTAACATGTTAGGACCTGACCCACCACCAAGAAAAATAAAACCTGGAAGAGTTTTGCTGTACTACTTCTAATCCTGCATTCTTAGCTAAAGTTTAAAAAATCTGCCCCGTTTGATCCCTTAGATGAGCTATCCGAAATAGTTCCGCGAACTATTGAGTCACTATCTTAGTATTATAATGTTTAGAAAAAAATCATTTACTAAAATCATTTACTAAAAAAAATCATTTACAAGTTAGAAACGATAAGAACGAACCTTTTTTAGCGTTGATTCCTCCTTTTGAGGAACCCAAAAAAGTCCCCCCCCCCCCCCCCCAAAAAAAAAAAAAAAAAAAAAAAACTGCCCCCCAAAAATGTTGGAAGACATTTTTTTTTATTGTAGGTTTGCCAGAACAAAAACACCATATTTTTTAACTATAAACGTACGGTGTGGGGACGTGGAATTTCTGTATAAACATATAAACACTTTGTTAAATATTTATAGATAAGATAATATTCTCCCAAATAAACTATACCATATGACATTTTTAATTAGGACTCCTCCTGTTACGCGTTGTGTTAATTGTTATGTTAATTTTAACCGTCGACATAGCTTGTAAATGTAATGTAAATTGAAAGCAGACTTGAGCCCTTTACTTGAAAAATGTAATGGATTAAAATTACAAATTCCGAGCCTCAAATGTATTGGATTTCCTTTAGAAATTATTTTCGCTGAAAAGTAACGGTTTGCTTTACTCGGTATGTTACAAATTACTTTCATGTTACTCTCCCTGTACACTTACCAAGAAAACAAAAGCAAACATAAAATATTCTATGCTGGCAAAATAGCGAAAGCGGCAACCGGCACCCGCCATCTCGCTAGCTTACGGCTTCAGGAAATGATCCCTGGAATTCAACAGAGAAAGCTAGCGGTGCGCATGCTCAGTAGCAGCGGCTAACTCCGCTAGGAGATCAAGAAGACAACGCCTTCTGGGCACTGACTTCTTGTTCTTTGTTTCTCCCATAAGTATTTGTAGATGCCTCGCACGTTTTTCTAGTAATTCTAATAACCAATCACACAAAAAAAAAAATTGTTTTTTTTTCGGTTTTTCTTATTACGGTGTTTCCTATTTGGTTGAACGTGCTATCTGTATGCTGCCGAATAACCTGTTCATATTGCTCCAGTTTTGTATTACGCTAATCTTTTTAAAAAGCAACGAGTAATTAAAGTAATCCGTTACCAATATTTGTAACGAAATTACATTACAAATTACTGCGGAAAAAAAGTAACGTGGCAATTACAAAATCACTTAAAAAAGTAACAGATCACAAGTAATTTGTTGCATGTAACGGATTACATCCCAAGTTTGATTGAAACAAAGTGTCATATAGCCCATCATTATGTCCCCTTAATTTGCTCCGCCTAAAAAAAAAAAACTGTGATAAAAAAAAGATTATTATCAAGGGATTGGGTATAATAAAAACGAGACAATAAACCCATTAAATTATCTCATTGTTATGGTATGAATATGAAACCAAATGGGGCACCCCGGGGCGTGGAAGGAACCATTCCGAGGCATGTCTCATCCTATTATGGTTCATGCATATTATAGACAAACACGATATAGACCAACACGCTTCACGAACCAAGTGTGGGCACCCCGAGTGCGCAGTAACCAGATTCGTTTGAAGTAAAATGTCTTGCGCATGCGCAGCGTCGACAGCAGCGCACCCACAGCGCGCCGTGACGGTCAATGCCGTGCGTTAATGTATTACGCAACACGCAGTTCGGTAGTGCATTCTGCAAACGGGACTTTGCCATATACACCAAACAATAATTCTATATTGGAAAGGCCAAACGTCAAAACCGTCTGTTGCAATTTTTTTTTTACTTTCTTTTTATTTTATTGTTAGGCCTTGGATGGAGCGCGGTTTGTGTGTCTGTATTTTTCGTTTTCCCCGCATTATCTCGTGTGTTTCGAGATTAGAGCTGCTGCAGCTATAGTTGCCGCGGTTTTTTCGCCTGCCAAAGCCGGTACACCGGTTCTGGTTGGTTTCAGTCGGTTTACGGGCAAACGACGCAACTGCGGGGAGGGCCGGGGAGCAGTACCAAAGCAGGGGGGAATGTTGCTGTTTGACTAAACTTACGCGATAGAGTGCAACAAATACGAAACAAATGGCGAGAACGTACGTATCGCTTTGTTCCTCTTGACTAATGTATACATATCTTGCTTTTTTGTCGCACTTGGGGCCAATAATCCAGCGACATAAAGTGCGCCTCGCAAATATCGTCACAAGTAAACAACTGTAATTGTAATTTAATGTTTTCCTTGTTTATATATATAGTTTTGTTACGGTTCGTTTCAGCCGTCATTATCGGCGCCTTGTCGCCCCTGATGACCATTGCAGCCCTGGCCCTGCTTTCGAAATTGGTTCAGCCTGAAGAAATGGGTGAGTGCGCCGAGTGAGGCGAGATAAAAATAAAGCAATCGAGGAGCTAAGAACAAATATGCCGTCTATACATTCTTAATCTCGTTCTGCTTAGGAAACCTAAGTGGAACAAGAGGAAAGTTCCGCGTAACCAGGAGGAATCATTTAAACTTGAGGAAAAAACCGAAAAGGCACGGACAAACACAAACTCCCTTCTCGGTTTCTTCCTGAAGTTTAATTATCCCTACCAACCCGCTCGTTCTGTCCTTACAGGAGGAACCGTTTCCGTATACTTCGTAGTTTATAGAGAGTAGTGTTGCAGATAATTGTAATGCCTCATATTTTATACAAGAGTGTTTCCAATCATTGATAGTCTAAAGCGCGAAACACATGTACGACGAAAACCTTCGGATCCGACGTGCGGACTGCCGGAATGACCTTGGAGGGAGAGGGTGTTCGTAGCATCGGAGAGCGTTGAAAACCCTCGCCTCCGACCGTCGTATTGCGCGGTGGGACGTCGGATCGGACAGTTTCGTCGTACATGTGTTTCGCGCTTTAAACACGAAATGTAAGAAAAAATAATTCTGGGAGTTTTAATTGGAGCAGATTGCCGCTTAAAGGGGTACAGAAACGAAATTCAAAATACACGGAAACCTTTCCGAAAGGGGTGAGGTATTACCTATGACATCTGTAAATTACAATAGCACGCTCGTATTTTGAGCGGAAGGCTATATTTATCGTTTCAAGCGTCCGATTCTAGCGAGCTCTTCGAAATCGGTCATCGAGGCGTACCGATGCCTCATGGGAACTCCGTCGCAATCGTGACGTCAGGCTCCTCAGCACAGCCAAAGGCTGGCGTGATTACGAGCGCCGCCACGTGGTGATTTTTGCGTGTTACAATTTCGCGTTTCGGAGTAGCGGAGGACTGCACAGCTGCATGACGACCGTCGTGACGTATTCATTTCGGCCCTTGTACTCCGCGCTGCGTTTCGCCATGATCTATGAACTCGACGAGGACGAGGATTTCGACTACCAAGGGGACTTGGAGGATGTCAGCGAGGACGAGCAGTCACACTCGCACATGATAACCGACAGGCGATTCGAGCTAGAACCGTACGAAGTATCCGACAGACCGACCGTCCGCCCGACAAAACCTGAAGGGAGTCGGAGTCGCCAAGAAATGTCTTGTATTTATTAATGATTGGCTAACTTGGAGCTATGCACTATTACGTGTTGTATTAACAGCTTGCTCACTTACCAGTTTACTTCGCTTTTCGTGCGGTTCGCTGAGCTCGTCTGCTTTTCTTTTCTTGGAAAAAGGAATAGTCGGTTCACCTCCTGGTAGCAACCGAATATTCTTGATAGGAAGATCCAGACTCCCGAGGACAGTAGGTCGCCTTTCATAGTTCTCATCGCCAAAATGGTCACCGTACAGGCGATCGGTTTTCGCCGGCGCCCAAGAGACGATGGACGGGCGAGACGGATCCACACGCTTCGGAATTTCTCATCGTTCGGAAACCCACGGGTCGGTGTCTCGCAGCTTAGCACACTGTTGCCGCAGCCCTCTGCCGCGCAATAGCGCGGCCTCCTGCACGCAAACGTGATGAATGAATGCAGAAACAACCCGGCGGTACCAAAACAACCGCGCGCCGCGCGAAGCAACGGGATGGCGTCATCGCGTTCAAGGCTAGGGTGTACTGCCGAGGGTGGCGTCACGATCTTCCAACAAAGCTTCGCCCCCCCCCCCCCCCCCCCCCAATAGTGAGAAATCGTTTTGTTCGTATTAAAATTACATGGTATATATACGTGTATGTGAGGTTAAAAGTGCTAAAAACAACGGACAAGTAAAAGAAACGTACAACACAGAGCGCTTGTCCGTTGTTTTTAGCGCTTTTAACCTCACATATATGGATCACCAACTAGCCCAAGTGCATACGCTTCTGCGGTATATATACCTAAGTAATAAAATGAGCCCTAAAATTTCGTTCCCGCAGCCCTTTAAGTGGAACAGAGTAAGTGGAACTACATGTAAGTGAAACGACAATCCACGCATAGCACCGACTTGTTCCAGATAAAAAAGAAAACGAGAATAAAGCGAATAAATTCACCGTTCCACATATAATCCCCGATCCACATAACATTTGAATAGCTCCAGATAGAATACGTGAAACTCCTATTCCAACTGGAACCTGTGTGGAACCAGGTTTGGAGTGTTGTCACGGACAGCCTAAGAAATACAGGGCGTGGCAAGTCCCCCGGCATCTCATTATCACTCCGTAGCCAATGAGGTTGCGGCATTAGCCGATACGAACTCCGAATAGCCAATCAGGAAGCAAGAAGTTGGACCACAATAAGCCACGCCCTTTTACCCCTTCCTGTATACTCTTCAATCTGCCAGCGACTGCGGATAAATTTCCTGTTGCGGTCTCAAGTACTTCTCGAAATTTCTCCCGCCATCCGACGAAAGTTCTTTAAACTTTCACTCTATCAGCATGAACAAATGATTAGACGAACTATAGACTTAATGAAGTTTAATATTGCCGCGTTCATGGCCGTGACGGAACGCTAGTCCATAGTTCTAGAAGGTTCGCGTTTAATTTTAACCCAAAATATTCGACGCTCGAATGTTTGAGATAAAGAATATGTAACAGATAGGGAGGTCAACGTGGCCTCGTCCAGTCAGTTTCGCCCTCGTTCGACGCTTATTCTAGGCGGAATTGTTCTATGTACCGAGGATAATGGACGAGGACGCCAGCGTGGCCTTGCCGAGTCAGAGAAGACACTCTCGCACTCCCGCGCTTGCCAGCTGTTACGCCGACACCTCAAGGCTCGCTGCTGCCTTCTTGACGCTCGTTCTTTCTGTCGTCCCTGGCACGAGTTTGCCGATTAAACCTTTAATTTCAGTTTCACGCTCCTCGATCTGTTTCCACCCGCGACAGTGTAATTAATGGAGTCGATGGCCCAATTAAAACGTTGTGTCCGGATACGGACACAGCGCTTTCATGGCGGCAGCGCACAACGTTCACAGAATAGGAAAACGGAGCTACTGTAACAGAACGTCTTCGTAACCCAGAGCAGGCGGTAGCGAACGAATTTTCACAAAACTGGTCCGCGTGCGCGCTGGCTGCTATTGATGGAAGTTTAGTGTAATTTGTTTTCGGCGATTTTGTGCTCGCGTCACCGCCATTAAAGCCGACGCTTCCGTGACTGCTGATAAGTGGCACTACTGCAGGCCTTTATGCTGCAGCACACCATAGGCGACTCCAGCGGAGTGAATTCTATCCCCGTTTTTCTGCCCATTTGGGGGTGCCACCGCACGTGACGTCACGGATGGGAGCCATAAAGCTGCATGTCACGCCGCTCATTCGTGCATCGTACAAAAGATGTAGTATTCGCTTCGCACGTATGTGTGCTTCCAACATGTCTGTAGAAAGTTCTCGTATGACCCATCTCACAGTAACGTCATACAAGGAAGAAACTCGCTTTAGACCGGGTCTGCAAACGGCCTTTTAACGGTGTATAAGTAGTGTGACCACGGCTCAAGGGTGCGCCACCGAAACATGTCGCCGCTAATAGTTTCGAATGCAATTTGACTGCAAAGTAACGGCAGTTTGATCACACCCCTGTTCCAGGATGCCTGTTTGCCAACGTGGCTGTGCTGAGTGTCGTGGCGCCCGTCCTGGCCACCGTCGTGTACCGGGAGTTATTCGCGGCCACCTGGTGGAAGGCGTCCCAGTTGGTCTACCTCCTCTCCATCCTCGTGGCGACAGTCGTATGCCTGCTGCTGGTGTGAGTAATCCGCATGCCTAGATCAAATAGAGTGCAGCTCCGCTCGTTTGCGTTAGTCAGCGCGCTTATAGCGCCAAATCTTACCCTAGCGGTGTCCGAGAGAACGAATGCGGACCCCGCTGTCTGCGCTCCGAGGGAGAAGGCAGCTCGCTGAGACAGCAGAGACGGCTGTTTCTCTACCGGCACTCGCGTAGACCATGCACGACGATAAATGGCGGAAGCTACAACTCCCAATTCTATGGGAAAACCCCGAGACTGTGGCGTACTTTGACGTTCAAACTGCGTAAGGCCCGTCGGTGCCAAGGTCATTGGATTTGCTTAGATAACAAGGCCGTAGTGCCAGAATTATGACGTCACCAACCGAAGGTCAGAGCGGGGCACAGATTGGACACGAGTGCCGCGTCAGCGTTCGGCTGAGACTCGTGTCCAGTCACCCCGCTCTGGACTCCGGTTGGTAACGACATACTTCTGGCACTACGGCCCTGTTACCTAGATGTTACCTTTTGTTTCCCACTAACCCACCTATATATAGTAGGTGGATACACACTGATCAGTCACACCATTATGACCACCTACCTAATACCCTGTTGATCCACATTCGGCACGCAAAAGAGTTGCACGGGGTCGTCTTCTGCAGAGTCACATATTCAATACAGTCTGGTGGATTGTGTGTTCGGAAAGACTTGCACTTTGAACTGCAGTGTATCTATCAGTCGAGGCACAGGTAGCCGAATATTTTTTTCACCAAGCGGGAAAGCCTCTGACGTTCTTTCTATCATGAAACGTGGGCACGCCTCGGCATATATTAAAGAGATGGTGAACCGAAATTTGGATTTCAGAAAACAATACAGGAGCTGTAGGCGGGACGCTACAATCCCTACAACACTACTCGTAAGGCGATATCTCGAATCGACGGCCGTATTTTTTGAAAAAAAGGTCGAGATAGACGAGGCCGACGAGGCGCGCGACGTCAAGATACCTCGTTTCCTCCTCTCTTCGTTTCGCTCCCTCATGGCGGCGAGGCAGAAAAGACGCGAGGCCGTTACCTCTCCTTCTCGGAGAAACATGACGTGAACATTTCTGTCAAATGCGCCTCCTTTTTTGAAAAATACGGTCATCCGTTCGAGATATCGCTGTATGAGTAATGTTTTGTTGTTTGTGGCATCCCGTTGCACACGTTTGGCCGCCGTGTTTTATGGAATCCAAATTTCGGTTCATCATCCTTTGCTGTCGTTCTTCCGCTTTTGTTAGGTACTAGACGACGGCAGCTCGCGAACACACGCTGAACTTTGCGTTTTCCGAGATAATTGGTCCGATCGCTATCGGGCCATTGCAATTCGCCCTTTGTTAAGGTCGCTTAAATCAGCAGCCATTCACAAAACATGCACACGTAGTCGACAATTATCCCTCTGTATCACAGGAAGCCGTTAACTATTATCTGCAGCAGTACGTGATAGGTAACGTGGATGGCGCGTAATCTAGGCGCTCTCAATATTCCCGTAGTGTGGGGGTGGTTCTAATGATTTGGCTTATTATAGTGTATATTTGCCGGGTTTTTTTATCGAGGCACGGACCTAGAAATGCCAACAAACCTTTTTTTTTTTTTTACACAAACGTTTTAGATCGAGGATTGCGTGTTTAAATCTGCTTTCACTTTCTTTTACGTTATCACGTGCGGTGACAACATAGTGCATGAAATATTCATATTCACTATCTCCGTATCCGGAAATAGCCACGGGTCGTTCGTTTTTGTTTCACGGAGTGGAACTATTTTTTTCTTTAAAGTTTTGATTTGCGTACAATTTTTGGTTCAATATTGTAAAAAACACACACACACACACACACACACACACACACACACGCACACGCACAACAAACAAACAAACAAACAAACAAACAAACAAACAAACAAACAAAAAACAAACAAACAAACAAACAAAAAACAAACAAACAAACAAAAAACAAACAAAAAACAAACAACAAACAAACAAACAAACAAACAAACAAACAAACAAAAAACAAACAAACAAACAAAAAACAAACAAACAAACAAAAAACAAACAAACAAACAAAACGAAAATTGCACGAAATTTGGAATTTGAGAAAATAATTTCACACCATATTTCTTGAAAAACTAATAATGCGAAGGTACGCATTGCAGAGAAATTTCACATATCTTTTTTAGCGCAAACGTATTTACGACTTGCGTGCAGTATTCACACCCGCGTTTGTTGTTGTTGTTGTTGTTTTCAAATAGCATTAACAATTTTTGCACGTTCCGAATTTCTACGATCTTCAGTCGATTTTGCCTGTAAACCTGCCTGTCGCTTTGCCTGCGCTGTAGGACAAAGTCTGTAAAAAAGGTGCAAAACAATCCGCGCATTTCTAAAACCTCAGACATCGTTCTCGTCAACGACAGGTGGCTGCTCTAGCAACGATTTTTGTAGTTTGCGCAAATACCGCGGAGAACGGATCCCTGGCGTTAATGACCTGTGAAACACCCGTTCGTTCTAACCACGCAATCCAAATCGCAAAAAATAATAATAATAATAATAAAACGAGCACCGTTTTTTTTTAACTTGCTGCCAGAACAAGCGGCCACGTGACCTAGAGCCGATTATAGAGAGTATTCACTGGCGGCCATAGCTGTGTGCGCGAATGCTGAGCGCGTGCTGATGGCGAGCTTCCACAGTTCTTTTGCAACGTGCATTCCGCACCATCAAGAGTGAGCATGCGCTCTAAACAGCACCCACAAATATTGCGTCCAGTGAATACCCCCTATATGCCACCAATGTTGATCATAGCCACGCGCTAGGGTTGGCAAGGCCCAGGACACGCGCCGAGGTCCAGACATTGTTATGGTTCGGCTGTTGTCGTCATTGCAGCGATTGGACACGGGCCACTACCGGAATGCTTCTCGAGCTATCGATTACCAGGAGCCAAAATCGAGTGCGCACGCAATTCTCGAGTCCAATTTATAAGCCGCATTCAAACATCGTCACTGGAGGATGCTGCGATCTCCAAGTTACGTCATCAAGTTTTGCGAAGGAGTGATTGAATGAAAACGCTCGCTTTTGTCCTTGAAATGACACCGCAACAAAGAAGTTTCTTGGCCAGTGGCGTTGCGTGCGAGTATCCTTGAGTCCCACTAGTGCCAGTAAGCTCTTGTAAAGTGAAAAACATTCCAAATGAATATCGTTGCACCGCCCTTTTAATTGCTCACGTTTTCCGATTCCTGCGCGCGCATATTCAAGACTATTCATGTCACATAGCAGAACTTCCGAGCTTGTACCAAGTATAAACCTCTAAGAGCATAACCTAACAAGAAGTGCACTCCACGAAACAAGTTAAGTGATCCACCGTTCGTTTGCCCACAAAAAAAAAAAAATCGACAGGGACACTTAAGACTGCTTACGTATAGGAATTCGCGACTCCAGCAAAACGGACGCCGCCAAGCGGGAAAACCGGGAACCAGCCGGTCCAGGTCGCTCCACGCCCCTCCGCGTCTCTGGTGGCTTTCGCGGAAACGTGTTGTCGGCGCGGTGGCGAACAATGTAATTTGACGAAGGTCCGAATATTTCTTAAGTTCGCCTGAGTGATCATTAGTGTGGTGAAGCCTCAGTAGATTGTTTTCTTTTATTGCGTGTTTGAAAGCCCGTTTACTCCACAGCACACGGTAGCGTGCTTTCGATTTCTTGGATGGGGAGGAATCACGGAAAAACTTTTTGATTTCTTGTCTGTCTCGAATCACATTCAAAGTGACGACTGATTGGTAACTGATACTGGAGGGAACATCAATGTTGCAGTCAAGTGAATGGGAAGGTTCGATAGCTGCTTTTCTCGAGTTTGGTTGTGTTCGGTTAGCTTCAAGTTTGAGCCACCCACGCCGGTCGGTGCGTTGGCTATTCATCTTGGCTGCTTTTCGCCGAAAAAGCCTCTGGACCATACTGAAGGAGTTGGGCTGATTTCGCAATTACTTGATTCAGGAAAGCTCGCTCGCTGCAAATGATGAATGAGGGAAATTATCTGTTTTCAAAAGGTGGAAGTCTCGCAACGTTAGATGCTGTCACGGCATTTTGACCTATCGCGCCTCCAATATTTATAGTACGAGGAAGTCGAAGCCAGCAGCAATATACGTCTACATTGGTCAGATGGACCGGCCACAAAAAAAAAACAAAAAAACTACATTTCTCCGTTCGGGATTCGAAGGAAAGTTCAATGCAGAGAGGTTCTGCGTGGATCTTTAATGAAGACTCTCTTCAGTTTGTCTCCGTGCTGCCGGCTATAGAACCATTTGGCTAAGTTTAAGTAGTAGGTCTCCGTCTGTCAAATATACTTTTATTCAGAAGCTCACCTAATAGCTAGTCAACTAAGCTCATATTTCAACCCGAAGGATATACTAATATCGCTTTAGTGGGACCCCCCCCCCCCCCCCCCCCCCCATAGTACGTAATATAATACATAACCTGCTCGTCAAAATGACTTCTCGATTGCTACTAAAACCTGAATCGAAATACGAGTATCAGCTGCTTAGTGGGGCGCCGGCTGGTTAACACGGTCCTTGGCTCAAGAAGCGGTTGCTTAATTTTCGTAATTTTCCTGCAGCCTGTGTCGTTGGCCGAGCAGACGACTGGAGTTGTTTCGTAACGCGGATACGCACAAAAGCTCGATTTCGCGGACAGATAAGTCGCATGGTCGAGGCATGCGAGTTAGCTGAAAAGCTACTCTCTGCGGAACAATTCTATAGCCATCGCCGCTTTCCTGATATGATCAAAACTGATTAGTATATTACCATCTCTCCGGAGCCCATAGTTTCGGTTTTGAACGAAGTCTCCGGAACGAAAGTTTGACACGAAAAGAACGAAAAAACACCGGTAAAACAAAACTATGCTTTGCAAGTTTATCTGCACCGGCTACACTTAATCGTCTCAGTTCAAATACCTATAAAATTGGGCATTAAACAGAAGAAAATCTGTTAAATTGAACGCGCCACCTGTTCAGGCGGCCCGACCGAGCCGCCGCGACCTGGACTCAGCCGCCATGTTTGTTTGGTGGTGGCGCCCCCTATAGGTCGCTGGAGTCGCGAATAGGAATGCGAAAGCATTCCTACAAGTAGGGCGCCACGTCTTCATTTTTCACACGGCGCTGCGGCGGTGACACGACGCTCCCCCACTGCGCAGGCGCGGCGAACCCCACCGGCTTTACAACGGCTTCCGTGACGCAGCATCTGCGTTGCTGTGGTTTTCTTTGTGTTTTATTTTCGAGGCGCGTCCGCCTTGACCTTGAGCGCCCCCGCCGCCTTCCGTGACGCAGCATCTGCGTTGCTGTGCTTTTCTTTGTGTTTTATTTCTGAGGTGCGTCCGCTTTGACCTAGAGAGGCGCGTGCTTGATGTCGTATTTTAAGGACTATATTTCGGGCACAACGCCCACGCCTTCTCGCGTAATGGGACAAGTAAGGCTTTCGCCTTAATAGCTCTACTGTAGCTCCACACGCTATTTACGAACTAGTCAGCGTTTGCCCACACCAGGCGTGGTCACCTCGCATGCGCTATGCCGACAACAGCGCCACCGTAGTGACGTGATGTCAGAGTCGGGTGTTGGTGTTTATGCTGCCTTTTTGCACACCCAGAGCCTTCGCTCATCCATCCAATAGGAACACCATTTTAAACTGCTGTAAAACGTCATGTATTGAGAGTACATCACAGTAATACAGGAAGTAATCCTAATCATTACCGGCGCCAAGAGGAGCAGAAGCGGCCGCAGCGCCGAGTGCTGCGCCGCTGGGTGAGGCAGCGGCGGGAGTGCGAAGCTCGAAGCGGCGCGTGCTGAAATCAAGTGTTCTCTCATCATCATCATCGCCCTAGCTGCCGGTACCGGTTTACGACGTTAGACCTGCAAGAGTAACGTTAGGCCTAACGTTAGGCTAGCGCATACCCGGGTCCCCCCCCCCCCCCCTCCCCTCACGTCAAACAGCTGCGCGTACCGGTTGACGACGTTAGGCCTGAAAGCCGAACGATATGCCTAATGTTATGCCTAACGTCAGGCAGTGCATACCCGCATCTCCCTGCCTCCCGTTGTGCCGCCCAAGTGCCGCCAGCAGTTCGGCTGGCTCCTTAGCAACGATGATGCCGTTCCTGTAAAGCCACATGACGCGTCGCAGCCAATGGAAATTTAGGTGCCGTTTTCGTTGCTACAGACAACGCGGGCTTCGCTCCATGGGACGTTAATGCTTTCGAATTAAAAATGCTAGATAATTGGGTTCGTGTGTTTTGCACAGTCACCGTACAGTTTTAGTTACATAGTCATACATTTTGAAAGTTATTTTATTACAATTGTGCTACCTTTCTTTCTGACTTGTTAACTGTCCCCCCCTCCCAAGAAACAAACACTTAGTTTTCTTTTTTCTTTTTGCCGCAAAAATAAACTACGCACCACCGAACGTACAGTCTCCGCCCGCATCATAGCGCTAGGGGTCCGGACCAGACGCGGAGGTTTCGTAACTTAGCGTTACCTTATTCAAACGTTGTAATTTTTTTTTTTTTACTTTCAATGGGAAAACGGGACTCGTTCCCGGTGGCCACTCCACTGGTGTGTTCGAGGAATTGTTAGCCGTCGTGTTACCATTGCATATTTACCGAAATCGGTTATATATATATATTTTACAGCGGAGCTGTTAAGAGCTAGGTTCCCCAGGATCGTGTCCGCCGGATTCGAAATGACACCGAACTCTGGACAGCTACCGCCATCTATGTGCGACGGCGGCCACCAGACAACTGGTTGCCGCCGTCGCTCATAGATGGCGGCCACCTTTCTTCGGAGGAAGAAGAGCGGGAGTGGAACGAGCGGCGATGTGCGCAGCAGCGCGAATGGTTCCGCAACCGCCGCGAAGCCGCTATCGCCTAAAGTTCCACTGCGTCGAGCGTTTCAGATTCCCTTGCGAAAGAATAGCAGATCGCTCGCCTGGGAAGCCACCGCCGAGAACAGAAGCTACAGCTCCGCTGCTCTTCCTTCTTCATCAGAGTGGAAAAGATAAAACGTTTTTTTTTTTAATAAGATAGCGACAAGCTCTGAAACTTTGCAATGTCATCCGCTAAATTTGGGCGGAAACTGAGCGGTCGGCAACGCGTATTTTACTTTTGCGCTGAAAAAGATATCATGTTAATATTCTTAGGGGACATCTTATCCCAAACCAAGAGCACCCGCACGTTTGGAACAATGTTCGAGGTTGAGTCAATAGACCCCTTTCAATGGTTCGCACCATCTAATAGCTCGTCCACCAACTAATGATGGGAGAGCCCCATTATTTGGGCACGTGCTCTGAGCCTGTATTGGACACGGGGGATTCCGTCAGCGTTCGGTGAGCACTCGGATCCGATCCAACGCCTGGTGTTCAAGGGTGGGTAGATGGATGGACGCTAACGGCTGTACCCTTTGGAACGGGGTGGTAGCTTGCGCCATCTAGCCCAGAAATGGCGACGGCCGACGTTGCTCCATGGACTTTTTGAAGAAGGGCCCATTTTATGGTGCGTAGCCGACTTCACGTGTTTCTAATTTTTCGCATCCCACAGGTACGTCCGCAGAAACCTACACGTTGGAGTTCTGGGCATCCTACTGCAAGAAGAGAAGGTCCCCCTCCTAGGAAGTATGGATTCAGTGACGGGAGCTGCTGTCTTCTAAAAAAAAAAGGGGGAAAAACAACATTGTACGCAGTGTGCACATTCGGCATGTTTTGGTTGTCTTCTAGCTGCAAGCAACGTTTTATTGTTTTACCTTTTTTGTTATGTCGCCGTCTGTATTGCGTAATAAAGCCATTTGTAAAATAATTCCGATGAAACTTGACTTTTTTTTATGTAAAAGACTCGTCAGGCAGCACTGAACGATGGATGAAATGTGATTTTTGGTGCGCCACTTGAAGTATGCGGGGTGTTGCTTATATATGTTGACACTCCTTGCTTCGTGATTCGTCCTTTGACGTTTCAGAGCGCAGCTCTTAGACGCCTGTTTCCGGGTTTCGCGGCGTCGACGTCGGCGTAACCGTCTCGCTGAATTTAGCGGGAAATTGAATTGGTGTTGAGGTCGCGTGACGTCAATTTTCCCACTAAATTTAGCGGGGAAAATGACGTCATATGACTTCGGGTCACGTCAGCTATGAACAAATTCAGTTTCTCCGCTAGATTTAGCGGAAAAACGGACGTCAGGTCACCCCAAACCAATCTGAATTGTACGGAGGGGGAGGAGGGGCATACACTCCCCTCGTACCCTCCCCTCCTCCTCCTCAAGAACTGCGCTCTAATTTCGCGTTACATATTTGTAAACGTCTATTTTTTTTTTGTCGGCAAACGCTGTAATTTTATTGGCTGAGAAACGATAATGAAATGGCTGGGGCTCGCCACGCCCTACATTTCGTAAGTTGTCGGTGGCTCTAAAGTGCTTGCGTGGCCACCAGTCTTATGACCAGAAAGTAGCGAAAGCAGCCCCAGTAATGGTCGTTGTTAGGTCCATCGTATACACATCAGCCTGGGACGGCGTTTTACCAAATGAAGGTCGTGTCGTGGATGTATAATTACATCAGATTCTCATTGATTGTAACGTTGTTCGTCCATACACCGCGGAAAGTACGTCGACAAATTAAACCACTACCAAGCATACCTCGGCAAACCTCACTCATGAGGGCCCACCCTCACCCTCATTACAGATGAGGTGAGGGTGAGTAAGTTTTTGAACCAGGAAAATTCATGAGTGCGGGGTGACTGAGGGCCGTGAGGGCTGTGAGGACTGAGTCCGTCAGGGCCGTGAAGGTAGTGAGTGCGTGAGGGCGGTGAGTGCGTGAGGGGTGTGAGGGCCATGAGTGCGTGAGGGGCGTGAGGACGGTGAATGCGTGAGGCCCCCTTCAGACGGCACAACTTTCTCAGCAATTTTGGTGTTGCTGGCGGGTTGTTCCCTAGCTTTCCCTGGATCGACACGAATTGCTGAGATCGGGTCCGGCTCGAAACAAGCGAGCAACTCGGAGCAATTCGAAGACGTCCGAAGCGGCTGTATCCAATCAGGGACGCGATATTTTCACGTGCCGGTGATGATGACAACAAAAGACTTTGTGTTTGTTTGAAATTGATCATTTTTGGAAATAAACTGTTTCAGAAAGATGCATTAGTATTTTTAACGAGATTTAAATGAATAAAAACACATTTATAGCGCGTAATTGTGCGTTTAAATAGTGTAATAAAAATAAAATTTCATGATGATGATGGCAAATTGTAGCAACTGGTTGCTGCGTGTGAACGCGGGTGGCCCGTGTTGCTGGTGTTGCGACGTCACGTTTCTGGGCGAAATCGTCCCATCTGAGGCGTACCTGAGTGGCGTAAGGGCCATGAGTGCGTGAGGGGCGTGAGGGCTATGGGTGCGCGAGGGCGGTGAGTGCGCGAGGGCGGTGAGTGCGTGAGAGGTGGTGAGTGCGTGAGTGGTATGAGGGCGGTGAGGGGTGTGAGGGCCATGGGTGAGTGAGGGGCGTGAGGGCTATAAGTGCGTGAGGGGTATGAGGGCCGTGAGGGATGTGAGGGCCATGATTGCGTGAGGGCGGCGAGGGGTATGAGGGCCGTGAGGGCGGTGAGAGGTGTGAGGGCCATGAGTGCGTGAGGGCGGTGAGGGGCGTGAGGGCCGTGAGGTTCAGTGAAGGGCTGAAGGTGAGTGGGACTGTGAGGATGAGGGTGAGTGAGGGGCTGAAGGTGAGTGCATACCTGTGAGGGTGAGTGAGGGGCTTAGGTGAGTGAGAGCGACCTAAAATGCCGACCTCTGCTACCAAGTGGATGTTCTCTTTAGTCGGTTCCACCAGTTTCGCTAAAATTTGTTTCCACAGATAAAAAAAGAAATCCAATTGACTGACATTCGAAAAAAAAACAAAAAAACCTCCCACATTGACAGATCAAATTCGGCGAAAAACATCTTGTCAACGAGAAAGGAAACGGGATTGTCTTTCTTGTTTACAAATTGTCTTCGCCAAAAGAAATGCCACAGGCGCCCCCAATTCCATTTTCTGGTTCGACGAATACGATCGTTAGGCCTAGATGGACATCGCTCATAAAGAAATTTTGTTTTAAAGCCTGGAATAATTTTTAAAGGGATTGACAGGGTATTTTTGCTCACCATATCTGTACGTGACACATGAGAGCCCAACTACTCGGAGCAGAATTTGCGGCTCGAAATCCGTTTTCTTTCCGCAAGGAAACCGCCGGTCGAGAACTGGCCGGTTTGAGTTGCGCTCACTCTTCTCCGTGGTCCCGTGCCTTTAAAGACACATGGCTTCGGTACGTGGACCCGTGCCGAAGCCGTGGGTCCTTAAAGGCACACACTCAACATTAAAAAAGAAAAAAATGCATTTTTTGAGGCTTCTAAAAAGCTGCAAATACATCGAATGATAAAAAGAACACACACACAAAAAAAAGTGAGGCTTTGTTTTATGCTGTGGAGGTGGTTGGTCAGCGAAGCTGTGGTATCACCTGCAACGATTGCCTACTGCACTATAGACCTTTCTTATGGCAAACGCCACCAGGTGGTGCTAGAGTCTTTGACATCCCAGAGAACTTCCTGTTTGTAAAAAGAATGAACAAAGGCTACCGCCACCTTAACACCGCTGCTTGAATTTTTTTTTTTCAATCTTATTTTATTTTGATTTACACGCCTGGGCCTGGTGGCCTTACTGGTGTGGAGGGCGGGGAAGATGCAAGGTGTGGTGGAGTGACGATGGTTAAATGAGTGTGAGGGAAAGGGGAGAGTAGGGTGGGGTGACGACGGTTAAATGAACCTCTCAATCCTGGAGGACCGGAGTAATGCTATGATGTATGAATCTCCAGGTGAACGCCAAAAGAACGAAGGAGTGCGAGATCTGTTTAAATGTTTCGAGTGTTCTTGTAAACCCACTTGCCCCCTCTAAGATGTATTACTTACAGCCGAAGGCCCTCCTTAAATCTTCAACTTTGTTGTCCGTGTAGCATTTATGCTTTCTAGCACTGGTAACATAAGCAAGCTCATCAGGCTTGGAAAAACGGTGCAACCAGAAGTCGCTTCGGACGCAAGCGGCAATTCATGTTTGTAAACAGAAAAAAAGATCTACGCCAAATAATTGACGAAAGGAAAGTAACTGCACTGTACGAAACCTTTTTATGTATCTAAGTCTCTGTACGCTGCCGTTGTGCGGCAGCTTATGCAACCGCAATGTTTACCGAACAACGCATACGGGGAGCGCTACGTGTTTATCACCTATCACGTGGTTTTGACACTTGTTTTGTGGTTTTCTTGTTGAAACAAGTTTTAAAACCACATGATAAGAGATAAGACGCGCGCGTGGGTTTCCTGTCGACGGACACGAAAAAAAATCCCACCTGCCAGTCGTATGCAGCTTCGCTGTAAAAAAATAAAAGAGTTGCACAGAGAATTGGAAGCACTCTGTGCATTATCTGCGTAGTTCTCAACATGGCGTCGCATCGCGGGAGTCGCGTGCTGGACGGCTGAACGAAGCGGACTATGAGATGGCGGCGGGCAACGGACGTGGGACCTCAGAACTGTTGTTCGCGGTACCGGCGAATCTGTCTAGCTTCGAAAGATAAATTGTTTACGGAACAAAACAATTACGATTTATTCCGTACGACACGCCCGACCACCGAGCTGATTCGCACGAAGACGCTGCCGAGTCGTCGCCCCTTCACCCGGACATCGCTCGTTTTACGAACACAAATTGGTAAGAACTTGAAAAACGCGGAAACGTCAAGCACGAAGTGGTTGACATTTGAGTTTTTTTGTGCGACTTGCGAATTTTTCGTCTGCTTCGCGCGGCTGGAAAAACGAAGGGAAAAAAGGAAACGAAAACGCGGTCGGGTGTAGGCACGTGACTTCAGAAAACTCCCTCCTCCTCTACACCTCTTCCCGGTCCAGTTCCGGCTTCCACCAGTGCGTTTTTTTTTTTTTTTTTACTTTATAAAGGTATACCAAAATATTGATTCGGTAGTCTTATGACACCATATTAAATCGCCGGGCAAAAAAAAAATTATATATATATCAGTGTGTCGAACCGAAAAAAACACGGGTTCGGTTACGGTTCAGGTTCAGGTAAATTCATTTTGTTCCGGTTCAGTTCCGGTTCGATTAATTCGATCCGCGAACCGGTTCGGGGCGCTGAACCGGTTCGCGAACCGGTTCGGAAATTATAAATGACAAATTGCAACATCAAAATAAATTACAAATAAAACATCTGAAATCAGCACATACGAAACGGAATACATCGTAGTGTAAGGCTCAGGGATTTCTACCAGGAATGGTTTCTTTATGTGCACTCAAAGGTTACCTCACCGACGTTTACGCATTCGGACTTCATCTAATTGGGTCCGACGCAGTAGCTGTAAAATCCGCGACCTCCTTACAAACCCACTTACAAGTAGAACTCGCTAACTATCCCGCCACCTCGGCGTGTAAGCAATTGAAGGAACAGTGGGGAGAAAAAACAGCTTTCTTTATTTGAACTAGCCTTCGGTAACTCAAATTAGACCCTTAAAGAATTTTTCATTAAACAAGATACGGAATATGAAAAACACTTCACCGAACGCAACGGCAGAAGGACGTAATAGGATAAATATTAAAATAGAAGCGTTCGCTGTCTCACAAATATGTTAGCTTCTAAGTGCCTATACGAAACCGGATGCATTATTATCAAACTCCACAGCCTTTTCTTTTCTCATTCCGATGGAAGCAAGCTTCAAGAAGTCGCGCGTTCTAGAAACGTGTTATGAAATGAGCACACAACAGCATTTAGGATTTACGAGATTGTAGAAAAATA